TGCCTTTTTAAAAATATAAACTTTAACTTCTAATCTGTGCTCTTCTATATTTAATCTTATTTTCAGCATTTGCAGGGTTATGCAGTTTACTGCAAAACATTTCAGGAAACTTTTCTCATTCATTATATTCTCTGTTGCTTGGTTGTGTGTGTGTGTAGGGTCAGGGCTGGGGGGATTATTTACTGTCCCAACAAAGCTTGCTTTTTTTTTGTTTTTTCATGCGGTTAAGATAATAAAACCAGGTTCCTAAAGTACAGTGTAACACATTGTGAAATTACTGACGCGGCAAGCAAAGATGATTTTAGGGCTTTCTCAGTCTTTTTTAGGGGGGATTGTTTACATTTTTGTGGTCAGCAAGCTTTTCCTGTGTATTTTTTGTGATTAAAAAAGTAAATTGTCACCCCATTGCTATGCACCATTTCATTCTGGATTTATTCTGCTGTAATTAAACCCAAGCAAATGAAAAACAGATACAAGGCCACAGCTAATGAAGAAAGCGAGGTTCTAAAGAAGGCTGTGATTTGATTTAGTCCAACGATTGTAAAGTAAAAACAGGATTCAAAACAAACCAAGTACTATACTAGGAACTGTGCAGTACACCCGCAGTGACACACACAAACTTGTTAAAGGCACAGCTAAAAACAGACAGGTTATTTATTGCAGATTATACAATCGTTAGAAGATTAATACCCTAGGGGGGGCTAAAAAGGCTCAGGCTGACTTTCATCTCAGACCTGCCCCAACAAAGAAAGCTGAGGTTAGAGAGACAGGGTTGAAAGAGGTAAGCAGACTGTCAGAAGACACAGAGTCTTCAAACACAGTTAAGTGTTATGTGTGTGTTTGTGTGTGCACGGGTTTCTGCGTTCATCACTATAACCCCATAATGAGTAGCCTTGAGGGGGTCCATAGCCATTTGGCTGCTCTTCATTTCCTGATTTGGAGAAAAGAAAAGCATTATCAAGCCTTTTATCTCCTCAACAGTGACACAAAAATACATACACAGGCACGCACCCACAGAGTGCAGACCGGTTGTGGTCTTACCACAAGGTTTTACACAATTAGGCCTATTTTACTCTCAAATGTGAATGCTGTTTGCGTTTACAGTTAATTGATCTTTGTGTTGAGATGTGTGCATGTGTGAGTGTGTCTATGCTGCAATTAAGCAAGATCAAACCACTAGAGTTGGAGAATTAGCCATCAGTGAAGCTCTGAAGTTTCCGACATGGAAGAGTGAAATCCGAGGGCTGGAGCCAGACAGACAGATTTTGACCTCAGATTGGAAATAATTGCAGCTTCCTCCTTTTTGTGTCTTAAACACACACACAAGCACATGTGTGCGTTACACTACAACCTCACATGGATTTAGAGTTTGGCCATTGATGTGAACTAATTTGACCTAGGTATAAACCTAAGAAATATTCAACAGCTCTGGACATGAATTTGTAGATTCAGATTTGACCAAAAAACAGAACTTCCTCTGATTATTTTGAAAATATTGGATAATCATTTTGTTTATTTGTCAAGGTCTTACTTTTTACAGATGTACAACTTTCACAAAGCAGCAGAGTTTTACACTTAAACAGCTATCAGGGAATAACATCACATGAATTTAATGAGAGACGTGAAAGAGGCAATAATCATCATCCGACATCTAAAGTAGAAACATTGCACATTTTTCAAATATCATATGTAGCAGAACAGCACAACCTTTGTGTCAACCGATCGTTGTTATTTGCGTTACATAGTTACTTCCTATAATTTAGAAACAGCAGGAAACCAGAGATTGTTTAAGAAAATTAAACTAACTTAACTCGGGTTTAACCCTGCATTGCCTTGTATGTCATAACCACCAGGGGGCAACACAAATTGCATAAAAATTGTTTTACATATCTGCTACAAGTCAATGATGTTTTGTTCCATTTGACTCCTTATTTTCCTTTTTCAGACTTGAACTATTTCCATAAATTTCTGAATAATATTTACTGTGATATGTTAAACATAAAGCTTCATGATGGTCATTTCTTCTGTAAACTGATGATAAAGCAGCTATAGTTGTATTAGTACCATAATAACTCATCGATACTGAAAGCAGGCGAGTATTATAGATTCCTGAAAGTTTGCATACATCTTTTTGATTTATTTAAGCTTATGACAGATGCATTTTCACATTTTTTCCCCCTAATTCTACCTGCTGATGTGCAGGAAACAGAATTAGCTGTTAAAACATGTATATGCATGACTGAGCATAGGATACAAGAAATATATCTTCTTTTTTTTTTGATAAAGAAAACTAAAACATGAATTTTTGACAGAAAAAAAAACAAGATTAGCCACATAACATAATGTTGACTTGGCAGGAGTTTTTGAACACTGTTGATATTTGTTCACATTTATGACTCAGGAAAATGCCACGGGCGGCTCTACTGCTATTACTTGTTTATTGGCAGTGACGTGGTGCTAGTCGGCTGCTCAGTGCATTTGGCCACACACATGCACAACACTCCCACTGACAGCATTACTGTTGGCTGGAATGTTTCAATTCATGACTTCACTGATTGATAATAGTAGTTAAAGCCCAGGAAGCTGCAGGCGCCAAAAGTTCATTAGAAGTGAGTGAAAAGAATGAACATTTGCTGTCATTTCAAGCATTACTCTTGTCTTTTAGGGAGAAAACGCAAACCCAAAAATGTCACAGAGCGGAGGTCAGACGAAGTTCATCTTCCTGTCCTTGATATTGGTAAGTTGTTTCCGCACCTCTTCTCTTGCATTTTAAAACCTGTCTCCGGGATGATGGTGGCTTAGGAGGTACAGTCCGTTCTGTAACCAGTGGGTGACCATGTCGAGCCTCCACCCTATCCATCTCATCTTGCTGTTGATGGTCAGATAAACAGCTGGTGCTAACTGTATTAGTGAATGTAGCATGGGGTCTTTGAACGCTTTGGGGTCTTTGAACGTGATGCAGTTACCTTAGAAATAACCATTTCTCTTGCTTAGCCAAATGTGATCCTTATATCCGGCTGTGCACCTGCATCTTACATTTTTCACTTTGGTCCTGAGAAACATGTCTGATCATACCCACAGTTGATGCCACAGTTGGCACTGCATCATCCAGACTTTGTGGAGTTTTGTCCCTACGGCAGTCACAATAAGCTGTAGTAATAACTACATCTTGGAGTTTTGTCAAAAGCTTCTGTCTCTGAAACCTGCAATGCTCGGCTTGTTTAGATGTTGAAACCTACTGGCCACGCCCCTTCCATTCATGCTCCCTTTTTTGATCCTCTCTCATTTTGCAGACAGAACCAAGTCAGTTTTTTTTTTTTTTTTTTGCCACAATTCAAGTTTCTTACATGCAGCAATGTAGTCACTGTTTCTAAAGGGATACATTCCTAAATGTAAAAATTCAAACGTAAAAATTCAGAAACATAAAAAATAAAAGCATAAAAAGTGTTCCACAATTGAGATAAATGTATCTTTTATAATTGGGTCTTACTGACCAACTGAAAGACTTTCAAAAAATATAACATTTTATTGTAGTGTTTTTTCCTTAGAATAAAACCCAGAATTAGAAAAAAATGTATTTTACCAAAAATCACCTCTCATCACTTATCAATGTTGTTAACTATTCCTGCACAATAAATAATACTGAAACCTATAGTGAAAAAAGGTATATATATATTTGATATGTTGGGTTGACCACAGTGTATATAACCTTGTTATGAGTTTTTACTATCTAAAAAAAAGGTGACATGATACAAAGGACAACATCTCTCGGTGAAGATGCCATTCAAAGGAGGGATATTTATGTTCATCCTTGTGTCAGATTATGGCTACTAGAATATAGTTACTAACTTCAACTTGCCCAGATTTAAAATAAAAAAGTTTGAATATGACAGCCAATGCTTGAAAGGACTCATGTTAACTTCGTCAAATGGATGATGAAACAAGAGTAGAAAATAAAAAAATTCACTGCTCACTGTGGTATCTCAGAGTCACTGTCTCCTTGAGAAATAGGAGACATTGTCTATATTCTCGTCAATTGAAAAACACCACTAATGTGAAGTTTTGCAACTATGACTGGAAAATTAAAGCCTGTGTAAATGTTTTTTTTAAACCCAAGATAAATGTCATAAATTTAAAAAACATATTATGATGGCACTGTGGCACACGTCACTGTGGGCGACAGTTTCGTTGTGTCCTTGGGCAAGACACTTCACCTGCATTGTCTACTGATGGT